TAACCCAAACCCAAACCCAAACCCAAACCCAGACCCAAACCCAAACCCAAACCCAACCCAAACCCAAACCCAAACCCAAACCCAAACCCAAACCCAAACCCAAACCCAAACCCAAACCCAAACCCAAACCCAAACCCAAACCCAAACCCAAACCCAAACCCAAACCCAAACCCAAACCCAAACCCAAACCCAAACCCAAACCCAAACCCAAACCCAACCCCCAGGTTAACCAAACCCAAACCCACGACTAAGGTCAGACCCAACATTTTGACTTTTATTAATCTTAATTAATTATCTCAATAAATACTCATTATAAATCAATATATTATATATCAATATACTCCAAATTGAATATATAATCATATTATAACATAATATTACATCATTATAATGACTTATATAAGTTAATTTCATATAATAGATTAGACAATTAGAATATCAATGAAAACATTTCAAAATCATTTCAAATCAATATATCACCTTTTAAATCATGTTAATAACAATATATATCAATTTCAAATACTTTGGTATCATATCAGGATGTTTACTATTCAACTTGTCAACTGACCTATACTAACACTGAAGATAGAAATCTTTCCCACTTCAATTCACTTCTAATACATCTATACATGATAATAAAATATATCTATTTGATTTTGAAGATCATCCATATCATACATGGTACATGGCTGATCCACTTGATACCTACAGGGATGTGACAATGACATCTACTATACAGATCATCATATAATTGATACAGTACCTTGCCAATGATGAATAAACACCACTGTATCAGTCTCATGACAATTTGAACTCATTCAACATGTCAGGAGTGTAATCATGAGAATTATGAATATCAAGAAAATGAAATCATATTAATTTTAAAATCTTTCAATTATAATATCATATATAGATCAATTTAACATGGTATATCAATAATTGGTATTGAATTTCATATCAATTCATTCAACCCTTAATTACCTGTCCTTAGATGACCAAGTCAATTTTAAACTATCATGAATCATATAACTATTGATAC